GAGGAGGGGAGGAGGAGGAGGAAAAGGAGGAGGAGGAGGAGGAGAAGGAGAAGAGGAGGAGAAGAAGAGGAAGAAGAAGAAGAAGAAGAAGAAGAAGAAGAAGAAGAAGAAGAAGAAGAAGAAGAAGAAGAAGAAGAAGAAGAAGAGGAGGAAGAAGAGGAGGAGGGGAGGACGAGAAGGAGAAGGAGGAGAAGAAGAAGAAGAAGAGGAAGAGGAAGAAGAAGAAGAAGAAAAAGAGGAGGAGGAAGGAAGAGAAGAAGAAGAAGAAGAAGAAGAAGAAGAAGAAGAAGAAGAAAAAGAGGAGGAGGAGGAAGAGGAGGAGGAAGAGGGAGAAGAAGAGGAGGAGGAGGAGAAGAAGGAGGAGGAGGAGAAGAAGAGAAGGAGAAGAGAAGGAGGAGAGGGGAGGAGGAGGAGAAGAGGAGGAGGAGGAGGAGAAGGAGAAGAAGAAGAAGAAGAAGAAGAAGAAGAAGAAGAAAAAGAGGAGGAGGAGGAAGAGGAGGAGGAAGAGGGAGAAGAAGAGGAGGAGGAGGAGAAGAAGGAGGAGGAGGAGAAGAAGAGAAGGAGAAGAGAAGGAGGAGAGGGGAGGAGGAGGAGAAGAGGAGGAGGAGGAGGAGAAGGAGAAGAAGAAGAAGAAGAAGAAGAAGAAGAAGAAGAGGGGAGGACGAGAAGGAGAAGGAGGAGAAGAAGAAGAAGAGGAAGAAGAAGAGGAGGAGGAGGAGGAGGAGGAGGAGGAAGAAGAAGAAAGAAGAAGACTAATTAGTGCTAATATGGTCTCCATAAAAAGACTAAGGATGAATTCTAGTTTGCTTTTCAATCTGTGAGGAGTTCCCTCTGGCGTCACAGGTCCCGGGGTCTCCCCAATGTAAGGACGCAAGACCATCCTGGAGTGACGCCTCCCACAGAATAGACTACCCATTGGTTTTTGTTTTTTTTTTAAAAAATAAACCATTCTTGTCTCTTGATTATATTTCCACTAGCAGAAGTTCTCCAGATCTTCCCAAGCTGGTTACCCCCGAAGCCCTTTCGGGTGGGAACGACAGTCAAGGCAAGATTTGCATTCTGGCAACCTTCCAAGTTTGAAAAGCACAAAGGTGGCCAAAAACATGGAAGGGAGGAGCAGCTGCCCAGGTCTTAAAAGTGGAATTTCCAAACAGAGGGAACGTTGGGAGGGAGACGGAATGCTTGAATGTGCGTGTTGTTGCAAAGAAGGACTTTCCTGGCGCTGGGAAGACTAATGTTTTTTTTAACAAGGTAGATCAACGGCAAAAGATGTCCAAGCCACAGACAGACCCAAGCAAAACCTTACTTGGTCCTGGAAATGAAGAGACACAAGAGGAGAATTGGAAAATTTACTTCCGGAAAAGTACAGAAGCCTTCCCAGAACCAACTGGATTAGCACGCTGCTGAAGAAAAAGGGACGCTCTAATAATATTCCCAGAACATTGTGTCCCTGAGACGTGAGTTGTACAGGAAGCTTTCTTTAAATTCAACAGATCTCCTGCGAGGAGATTGGAATTTGAGTGGCAGAGGGATTAAGCGTCTTTGGATTGTCTCTAGGTGCCCCCTACGACAAAACATGTGGGCAAGGCCTCCTCTTGGACAGCCCCAAAGAGAAGGATCCTTCTCCGGATGTATCTTCTGGCCCTCAAAAGATGGCCAGCGTAGTGGCATCATCACCCAAACTGCTGGGCTAATAGTGTTTGTGCGGTGGCAGTAAGATATGGGAACATCTAGCCCAGAGGTCCACAACTTTTTGGGCTCCAGGGACCAGTTCCGTGGAGAGACCAGAGGGTGTGTGGTTTTGTGTGCTGCCTGCATCCTGCAAATGGGGCTTTGCTTGTTTGTGTGGACCGGTTGCTGGCATGCCGCAGCCTGCTACCGGTCCACAGACTGGGGCGTTGGGGACCCCTGATCTAGCTCCCTTCATCTGGTTCTCCACTTCTGTTGGCTTTGTCTTCTGGGAACCAGGGATAGCCTTGGTTTTCCAGAAGGCTCATATCTCCAACTGTCATCCCTTACGTGAACGCGAGACGGTGAAGAAGGTGAGCGGTGATGGGCTTAAATGAGAAGGAGGCCCAGCTGTTTAGAAAGATTGAGAACATCTGCAAGATGTCTTCTAAACTTCCCCGGGAGAAATAGCTCTGGGACAAAGGACAAGATGACGCCGTTAATGACAGCTGTGACGTCAACAAGACAGCACCCCAAGTACACAATATCGGTAGTGTGGAAACAGAGCGTGTCAGTCAGTGGACATCACTAAAAGGGAAAGACCAGCTTTGATTTATCCCATGTGTCTTACTATCTCCTGCCCTCAAATGGTGCTCTCTCAAGGCCTTCTTGACAACGGAAAGACAACAGGGCACTGTTGTTTCATGGGAATGCCTGAACAGTGTTTCAATCTCCGGACTGGACCTTCGTAAAGACCGTTTCCCACAGCTGATATTTCTCCCCAAATCTTCCATCTCAAGTCTAAAGACAGTGACCCACCAGAGACCACATCTGGACCTCCAAGTGTAGAATCTAACAAAGGCAAAACGAGGCACATTCTGAGCTGCAAAGCCCCAGTTGACCACTAGATGGCAGCAAAAGGATAGATCCAGCCCTCCCCTCCCCCCCAATGCTCTGCTGCCCTCTAGTGGTCACCTACATCAGATTCCTCCTGTGAAGAACTGAAGCCACTCAATGCTTAGGCGAGCAGATTGCTCCATTGCTTAAGTAAGAGACACATTGGGCTTATGCTGGCCCCTGTAGTGCAATTCCTTCAGGGTTGGACCAGGCCTGGGTTCAGAACGCTCACTGGAAGAGTTTCTACCTGCCATTTTTGTCTTTGCCCAATCTACTTCCCCAAGTAGATTTTTATTGCAGGAGAATAAACACTGAACACTTCCCCCCCACTCCACTCCGCCCCATCCTCAGTGGCTCTTCTGGGATGGTTAAACCTTGCAGGGCTGGCCAGCTCTAGAACTAAGGAGAAACTTCCTGACAGTTAGAACAATTAACCAGTGGAACCACCTGCCTCCAGAAGCGGCGAATGCTCCAACACTGGAAGTTTTTAAGAAGAGACTGGACAATCATTTGTCCGAAATGGTGTAGGGTTTCCTGCCTGAGCCGAGGGTTGGACTAGATGACCTCTAAGTTCCCTTCCAACTTTATTATTATTATTATTATTATTACCATCATCATCATCATCATTATATTATTATTATGGATCATTGCACAGTCGGCCAGATGTTCAGACTGGATTTGGCATTTTGTCTACCTATTGAGTCCTTACCCAGGACCTGGGATAGGCAGATGTGGATGTTTGATGGTATTACAGATCTCATCGCAGGATGGAAGCAGTTCCTAGTAAGGCCGCCTTTTGCAATTGACTAATAGCGAATTTGTCAATGCCAATGGTGTTCAAGTGGTGCTCCAGTTGTTTTGGGATTGCACCCAAGGCGCCTATGACTATTGTTACTACCCTTGCTTGCTTTTGCCACAGTCTTTCTATTTCTATTTGTAGGTCTTTGTATTTTGTTATCTTCTTCAGTTCTTTCTCGTCTATTCTGCTGTCTCCAGGCACTGCCGTGTCCACTATCCAGACTTTTTTGTCTTTCTTATCGACAATTGTTAAGTCTGGGGTGTTATGTTGCAGGTGCTTGTGTGTTTGAATTCTGAAGTCCCAGAGCAGTTTAATTTTATCATTTTCTATGACTTTCTCTATTTTATGATCCCACCAGTTTTTGCTTACAGTCAAATGATATTTTTTGCAGATCTTCCAATGCACCATTGTTGCTACTTTGTCATGCCGCTGCTTGTAGTCAGTCTGTGCAATCTTCTTGCAACAGCTTACCAGGTGGTCCCCTGTTTCTTCAGCTTCTTTGCATAGGCAGCACTTACTGTCTATTGCTGTCTTCTCAATTTTGACTTTATATGCATTTGTCCTTAAGGCTTGGTCTTGTGCAGCCAGAATTAGTCCCTCGGTCTCTTTCTTCAATTTTCCTGCTCTTAGCCATTGCCAGGTCTTGTTATTATCTGCTTTCCCAGCTATTTTTTTTAACATATTGGCCATGTAGTGCTTTGTCTTCCCATGCCTCTATTCTGTTCTTCAGTTGGTTTATTATTATTATTATTATTATTATTATTATTATTATTATTATTATGATGATGATGATGATGGATCATTGCACAGTCAGCCAGATGTTCAGACTGGATTTGGCATTTTGTCTACCTATCGAGTCCTTACCCAGGACCTGGGATAGGCAGATGTGGATGTTTGATGGTATTACAGATATCGTCGCAGTATGGAAGCAGTTCCTAATAAGGCTGCCTTTTGCAATTGACTAATAGCGAATTTGTCAATTCCAATGGTGTTCAAGTGGTGCTCCAGTTGTTTTGGAATTGCACCCAAGGAGCCTATGACTATTGGTACTACCCTTGCTTGCTTTTGCCACAGTCTTTCTATTTCTATTTGTAGGTCTTTGTATTTTGTGATTTTCTCCAGTTCTTTCTCGTCTATTCTGCGGTCTCCAGGCACTGCCACATCCACTATCCAGACTTTTTTGTCTTTCTTATCGACAATTGTTAAGTCTGGGGTGTTATGTTGCAGGTGCTTGTCTGTTTGAATTCTGAAGTCCCAGAGCAGTTTGATTTTATCATTTTCTATGACTTTCTCTATTTTATGATCCCACCAGTTTTTGCTTTATGATCCCACCAGTTTTTGCTTTATGATCCCACCAGTTTTTGCTTTATATTATTATTATTATTATTATTATTATTATTATTATTATTATTATTATTATTATTATTATTATTATTATTATTATTACTATTATTCTGCCCTTTGCACACACTCAGATGCCCTTCCCAGCTTTCTCCCGGTGGGGAAAGGAAAGGAGCGCCCTTGGCCTCTAGGGAACCGGAGCGCGAGGGTATGACCTCGTGTCCGGCAGAAAGCCCAGCCCTGCCCATCCTTCCCCCCCCCACCCTCCGCACCTGGCCGAAGGTACCTTCCTTACCTGCGCTCAGCTCCAGAGGCCCCTCGCCGCCGCCGCCGCTGCTGCTTGGCGCCCCCTGGTGGTGATGGTGGTGGTGGTGGTGGTGATGCTGGCCGTACCTGGCGGAGGAGGAGGAGGAGGAGGAGGAAGAGGAAGAGGAGGAGGAAGAGGAGGAGGTGGAGAAGGCGGCGGCCGGCGCTTGGGCTCCCACCTGCGGGGCCGAAGTCCGCGCCGGGGGCGCGTGGGAAGCGCGGAAGGGGCCCGGGTAGGGCGGGGGAGGCTCGCCCAGAGCTGAGGAAGAGGAGGAAGAGGAGGAGGAAGCGACGGCCGGCAGCGGCTGCGCTTGGAAGGGCCCGATCCCGGCCCGCACCTGCGGGATCTCCACCATGGTGGGCCGCTCGTAGCGCTTGCTCAGCGCCGGCCGCCGCCCGCCGGGAAAGGTCTTGAGCGCGCTGTAGGGGCTGCGCTGCTGCTGTTGCTGCTGTTGCGGCTGCGGGGGGGCCTTGTAGAGCTTGCCCCCCCCGCTGGACCCCTCCTCGGCCGCCGCCTGCATGGCCTCCTCGCTCAGCATCCCCGCCAAAGCGCTCCGCTGGCCCCGTCTGTCGGCGCGGCTGGGGCGGGATGGTGGGCACCGACTGAGTCGCTGGGGGAGGCGGGCGCCCTGATTGACAGGCCGCCTCGCCAATGCCTGGAGGGAGAAGGGCGGGCGAGAGCAAGCCGGGAGACCCCCCCCCCGCCTCTCCCCTTTCCCCCCCCCTCCCCACTCCCCAGCCCACCCCCAGCCCAGCCCAGCCTCTGATGCGCTTCGCTAATCGGAGCGGAGCGCACCAGAGGCGCCTCCCGTCCCCTGGAGGGGGTCTCGCCCGGGGAAGGAAGGGGGGAGAGGACGCCTGGAGGCCGGCTCAGCTTTCTCCAGAGTCAGGCTGCTCGGCCAGGGGCTCCCTGCAGCCCCCCCCCCCCAAGCTGGGCATAACCCTCCCCACCCCGCAGCCACCCCAGGCCGGGGCTGGAGATGCCCAGCGCTCAAGAGAAGGACAACCCTCCTGTCCGCCGCCTGTGGGGACCTTTACGCGGAAGGAAAGACGCCCCCCCCTTCTCCCCGCAGGCTGGAGACCCCCCCCACACACACGGAGGCGCCCTCCCCCCCCTTCTCCCTTCTCTGCTGGGAAAAGACGGGCGGGAGCGCTCCTACGCGCCCCTCTTGGCGACTCCAGCCGCGGACAACTTTGCGCGGCGCTTTGTCCTTCGCCACCATGCGCCCACCCCACTCGGAGCTGGTGGGGAGGGGAGGGGGGGGGAGAAAGTCGCCGGGGGCAGCCCTCCCCTTGCTTCCTCCGCCCCCACCCCCTTCCCCGAGCCCCAGGCAGCCTCCCTCCCTCCCTCCGTGCCCTTCCCCTTCTCTGCCCCACTTCTCCCTTAGTCGAGAAGGAGAAGGAGGAGAAGAAGAAGAAGAGGAAGAAGAAGAGGAGGAGGAGGAGGAGGAGGAGGAGGAAGAAGAAGAAAGAAGAAGACTAATTAGTGCTAATATGGTCTCCATAAAAAGACTAAGGATGAATTCTAGTTTGCTTTTCAATCTGTGAGGAGTTCCCTCTGGCGTCACAGGTCCCGGGGTCTCCCCAATGTAAGGACGCAAGACCATCCTGGAGTGACGCCTCCCACAGAATAGACTACCCATTGGTTTTTGTTTTTTTTTTAAAAAATAAACCATTCTTGTCTCTTGATTATATTTCCACTAGCAGAAGTTCTCCAGATCTTCCCAAGCTGGTTACCCCCGAAGCCCTTTCGGGTGGGAACGACAGTCAAGGCAAGATTTGCATTCTGGCAACCTTCCAAGTTTGAAAAGCACAAAGGTGGCCAAAAACATGGAAGGGAGGAGCAGCTGCCCAGGTCTTAAAAGTGGAATTTCCAAACAGAGGGAACGTTGGGAGGGAGACGGAATGCTTGAATGTGCGTGTTGTTGCAAAGAAGGACTTTCCTGGCGCTGGGAAGACTAATGTTTTTTTTAACAAGGTAGATCAACGGCAAAAGATGTCCAAGCCACAGACAGACCCAAGCAAAACCTTACTTGGTCCTGGAAATGAAGAGACACAAGAGGAGAATTGGAAAATTTACTTCCGGAAAAGTACAGAAGCCTTCCCAGAACCAACTGGATTAGCACGCTGCTGAAGAAAAAGGGACGCTCTAATAATATTCCCAGAACATTGTGTCCCTGAGACGTGAGTTGTACAGGAAGCTTTCTTTAAATTCAACAGATCTCCTGCGAGGAGATTGGAATTTGAGTGGCAGAGGGATTAAGCGTCTTTGGATTGTCTCTAGGTGCCCCCTACGACAAAACATGTGGGCAAGGCCTCCTCTTGGACAGCCCCAAAGAGAAGGATCCTTCTCCGGATGTATCTTCTGGCCCTCAAAAGATGGCCAGCGTAGTGGCATCATCACCCAAACTGCTGGGCTAATAGTGTTTGTGCGGTGGCAGTAAGATATGGGAACATCTAGCCCAGAGGTCCACAACTTTTTGGGCTCCAGGGACCAGTTCCGTGGAGAGACCAGAGGGTGTGTGGTTTTGTGTGCTGCCTGCATCCTGCAAATGGGGCTTTGCTTGTTTGTGTGGACCGGTTGCTGGCATGCCGCAGCCTGCTACCGGTCCACAGACTGGGGCGTTGGGGACCCCTGATCTAGCTCCCTTCATCTGGTTCTCCACTTCTGTTGGCTTTGTCTTCTGGGAACCAGGGATAGCCTTGGTTTTCCAGAAGGCTCATATCTCCAACTGTCATCCCTTACGTGAACGCGAGACGGTGAAGAAGGTGAGCGGTGATGGGCTTAAATGAGAAGGAGGCCCAGCTGTTTAGAAAGATTGAGAACATCTGCAAGATGTCTTCTAAACTTCCCCGGGAGAAATAGCTCTGGGACAAAGGACAAGATGACGCCGTTAATGACAGCTGTGACGTCAACAAGACAGCACCCCAAGTACACAATATCGGTAGTGTGGAAACAGAGCGTGTCAGTCAGTGGACATCACTAAAAGGGAAAGACCAGCTTTGATTTATCCCATGTGTCTTACTATCTCCTGCCCTCAAATGGTGCTCTCTCAAGGCCTTCTTGACAACGGAAAGACAACAGGGCACTGTTGTTTCATGGGAATGCCTGAACAGTGTTTCAATCTCCGGACTGGACCTTCGTAAAGACCGTTTCCCACAGCTGATATTTCTCCCCAAATCTTCCATCTCAAGTCTAAAGACAGTGACCCACCAGAGACCACATCTGGACCTCCAAGTGTAGAATCTAACAAAGGCAAAACGAGGCACATTCTGAGCTGCAAAGCCCCAGTTGACCACTAGATGGCAGCAAAAGGATAGATCCAGCCCTCCCCTCCCCCCCAATGCTCTGCTGCCCTCTAGTGGTCACCTACATCAGATTCCTCCTGTGAAGAACTGAAGCCACTCAATGCTTAGGCGAGCAGATTGCTCCATTGCTTAAGTAAGAGACACATTGGGCTTATGCTGGCCCCTGTAGTGCAATTCCTTCAGGGTTGGACCAGGCCTGGGTTCAGAACGCTCACTGGAAGAGTTTCTACCTGCCATTTTTGTCTTTGCCCAATCTACTTCCCCAAGTAGATTTTTATTGCAGGAGAATAAACACTGAACACTTCCCCCCCACTCCACTCCGCCCCATCCTCAGTGGCTCTTCTGGGATGGTTAAACCTTGCAGGGCTGGCCAGCTCTAGAACTAAGGAGAAACTTCCTGACAGTTAGAACAATTAACCAGTGGAACCACCTGCCTCCAGAAGCGGCGAATGCTCCAACACTGGAAGTTTTTAAGAAGAGACTGGACAATCATTTGTCCGAAATGGTGTAGGGTTTCCTGCCTGAGCCGAGGGTTGGACTAGATGACCTCTAAGTTCCCTTCCAACTTTATTATTATTATTATTATTATTACCATCATCATCATCATCATTATATTATTATTATGGATCATTGCACAGTCGGCCAGATGTTCAGACTGGATTTGGCATTTTGTCTACCTATTGAGTCCTTACCCAGGACCTGGGATAGGCAGATGTGGATGTTTGATGGTATTACAGATCTCATCGCAGGATGGAAGCAGTTCCTAGTAAGGCCGCCTTTTGCAATTGACTAATAGCGAATTTGTCAATGCCAATGGTGTTCAAGTGGTGCTCCAGTTGTTTTGGGATTGCACCCAAGGCGCCTATGACTATTGTTACTACCCTTGCTTGCTTTTGCCACAGTCTTTCTATTTCTATTTGTAGGTCTTTGTATTTTGTTATCTTCTTCAGTTCTTTCTCGTCTATTCTGCTGTCTCCAGGCACTGCCGTGTCCACTATCCAGACTTTTTTGTCTTTCTTATCGACAATTGTTAAGTCTGGGGTGTTATGTTGCAGGTGCTTGTGTGTTTGAATTCTGAAGTCCCAGAGCAGTTTAATTTTATCATTTTCTATGACTTTCTCTATTTTATGATCCCACCAGTTTTTGCTTACAGTCAAATGATATTTTTTGCAGATCTTCCAATGCACCATTGTTGCTACTTTGTCATGCCGCTGCTTGTAGTCAGTCTGTGCAATCTTCTTGCAACAGCTTACCAGGTGGTCCCCTGTTTCTTCAGCTTCTTTGCATAGGCAGCACTTACTGTCTATTGCTGTCTTCTCAATTTTGACTTTATATGCATTTGTCCTTAAGGCTTGGTCTTGTGCAGCCAGAATTAGTCCCTCGGTCTCTTTCTTCAATTTTCCTGCTCTTAGCCATTGCCAGGTCTTGTTATTATCTGCTTTCCCAGCTATTTTTTTTAACATATTGGCCATGTAGTGCTTTGTCTTCCCATGCCTCTATTCTGTTCTTCAGTTGGTTTATTATTATTATTATTATTATTATTATTATTATTATTATTATTATGATGATGATGATGATGGATCATTGCACAGTCAGCCAGATGTTCAGACTGGATTTGGCATTTTGTCTACCTATCGAGTCCTTACCCAGGACCTGGGATAGGCAGATGTGGATGTTTGATGGTATTACAGATATCGTCGCAGTATGGAAGCAGTTCCTAATAAGGCTGCCTTTTGCAATTGACTAATAGCGAATTTGTCAATTCCAATGGTGTTCAAGTGGTGCTCCAGTTGTTTTGGAATTGCACCCAAGGAGCCTATGACTATTGGTACTACCCTTGCTTGCTTTTGCCACAGTCTTTCTATTTCTATTTGTAGGTCTTTGTATTTTGTGATTTTCTCCAGTTCTTTCTCGTCTATTCTGCGGTCTCCAGGCACTGCCACATCCACTATCCAGACTTTTTTGTCTTTCTTATCGACAATTGTTAAGTCTGGGGTGTTATGTTGCAGGTGCTTGTCTGTTTGAATTCTGAAGTCCCAGAGCAGTTTGATTTTATCATTTTCTATGACTTTCTCTATTTTATGATCCCACCAGTTTTTGCTTTATGATCCCACCAGTTTTTGCTTTATGATCCCACCAGTTTTTGCTTTATATTATTATTATTATTATTATTATTATTATTATTATTATTATTATTATTATTATTATTATTATTATTATTATTATTACTATTATTC